TTTTTTTTTTTTTCTCGGCGCGCAGAGAAGGGTAGACTATATCGAGGGGATGGATGAGTCTAGCTGTCTTCGACATCAAACAACGAGGGGGCTTTTCTGGTGACCGCTCTTCGAGATACGAGGGACACGCTGCACTGATTCGTCCGCGTCTTCTTTCCCGATCACAGTCTCCGTTCCAGGCACGCGAACGGCAATGCGTCATCAAGGCCGTGGCTGCGGTGGGTCGACGGTGGTGGTGTGGGCGATGCATGGGGAGTCAACCACAGCTGTGCAGAGAAAGAATGGGGGGCTCCAGATATAGACTCTGATTGCGCGACATTCGTTTCTCTCCGCCCGACGGCCGTGCATTTTTCCAACTTTTTTAAGTGACAGGTGCCGTTGTAGTGCCTAATTTGCGACATCGGTGGAGCGCGCCGGAAAGGCTCGACAGATGTCCTCGTTGGAATGAAAGATCGCCTTTTCGCCCAAGCAAATCAACTCGTTCAGCGTGACGCGCCGCATCTTCCCGCTGACGACCTAGTTCGAACCGGCCTAGGTCACGCTACCCATCCCCTACGTTAGTTCGGCACGTCGTCACAAGTCACTCAGTCGGTGGCGCCTCAGACTAAAGGTTCGTCTTGAGCAGCGAGCATACCATGCTACGCGCGAGGGCGATGGAAGGCGCAACCATTCCCACCAACGCGACTTTTCTGACGCGGACCCGAGGGACGGCTACTGCTCTCCCACGTTCTCGACTTGCCATTGTTGGCCACAAGAACCTCGGGTGACTCGAACGCACGCGGAATGGTGGGGATCGGGACTTATCCACCGGGGGCCTCGTCCTGCTCTGCCCGGACCAACAACGCAAGTTTAGGCGTGGAGACTGGACGGCGGCGACGAAGGGAGACTCCCCGATCCAGCGAGCACCACGTAATGTAACATCAGCGTCATCATAGAGTCCTTCGCTCAGAGCTAGAACTTGGGTGAGTTTGTGTCCCCAACTCCCATTACTCCACCTACTTGTACCTGTTATACAGTACTAAACTTTTGGGGCACACGTGATCGAAGTGATATAGTAGGTGTGATATCCATAAAGTATCACTACGGCTCAGTCATTTGAGGTACCGTTTTACCATCTGTAATCTCTGGCCTATGGTGTCATTTCAGTCACACATGTTCGTACAGTCTAAAAAGGTGCTTTTCGGTGGGTGCTAACTAAAGACACTCCTTATGACCAAGTCCCCGTAGAGTCTGATGAACGATGCTCGAAGTGGTATCGCCTTGACCAATTGCGGGGTCCCACGGGTCGAAAGGTGTGCGACAATCGGCCGTTCCCACAAAATCCTCAAGGATGTCCCGTGAGGAATGGAATGGAGGGTCGGGGAGCCACACCCCAAGCTGTGGCCGCATTTCACTTTGTGAACTATAAGTGCTCGCAACAAAATTCTTTGTGTGCCTAGCAGAAGACAGCCCCGTGGCAGGATGAGAGATCCTCCCCGGATGAAAATCGACGATGTGTGCTGCCCAAAGGAGCTACCATATAAATTGAAGGAGTTCCAGGGCAAATGGGTTCACACAGTCCAACTCACCTCCGAAATTGTTACCCAAATCCAAAAAAGCGCTGAACACCGAAAGGTCGGAGTCGACCTTGAAATTCCTCTGACGCGGAGCATCTCCAGCAAGCGTCAATTTGACAACGAGCAAGAAGCAATAGATGCCATGGAGCCCTGCATCAATATTCAACGCCTTCCGGATGAGCCTATGACCGTTTCGAAGAAATCACCTATTTCTGCCAATAAACCAGATCATCCGGCATGTCGCCTCGAAACTTTCAACCTCTATATCGAAAAAGGGCAGGACCTGTGGTCAATTGTGGTGGCTATCGACGGCTGATAGAATGTCACATTTTCTGGCCGGACCTAACCCGTCTTTGGGGTTTCGACAAGTTGAGAACCAGCCTAGGAGCCTGTGTAATTTTTGTGTGTCTCTCTCTCGACTTGAACGAACACTTTGAACCATTTTCCAAATAATAAACATCAGTTCCGCGTAATGTGGCTGGCGGGGCGGCCTTTCGCCTGTGCCCCGACACGCGCGTCTGATTGAAGCCTTGTCCAGCTTCAGTGTCCAGGGTGACCATTGATTAAAACTGTGTCGCGCGCGCGCTCATATTGGGATATTGGCTTGACAAGTCGATCTCCATTTCACCCTGACCCTGTCCAACTCTCCCCCGATGTCGGAAAGCGCCGGGGCGACAGAGAATCATCGGCGCTTCTCCCGTCACCTCTTGCTCGTTCTTGTCGTTTCGACTCGCTGAAAGCAAGACCTCAGTACCTATGGACTATTTAGGAGAGCACGGAAGAGGAGAATAATATCGTAGACCCGCAAACGCTCGGATAGTGATTTCACGTCCGACCTCGCCGTCAACCGTTGTGAGGGGGACCACTCTTTGTTTCTCGATCGCGAGTCCCCTCGCCCCTGGTGCGGCGGCATCTTGGGAACAGCAACAGCTACAAACGTAGCCCCCACATTTCGCCAGCCAGAGAAGAAGCGGTGACCACTCTCCGCGATGCCAAGAGGCTATGCTCGAGGACCCCCATATTGAAGGAGGCAACACACCGAGCTCGCTTCAGATTTCTCAAAGCCCGCTATTTAGGCCTCAATCCAATCATTGGTCACCTTCACCATTTCTTCCTTGACAAGTTGCACCTCGTTCTCGTTCGGTGACAGGGTCTCGATTCTAGACAGGACCCCTCCTGTTTTTCGCCTTCGTCCCAGTCGTCCGGACAAAGTGCTCCGATTCGCAGTCCGAGAACTGGCACTTTCGACGACCGAAGGTCACGGCGGATGCTCCGTGAAACCTCCTTCACTAATTATGGTTCTAGGCTGCCACACGATCCTTCACCACGTCAAGCCTCACACGCTAAACTTCACACGAACAAATGGCTCAATCTAGATTGATCGCTTCCAGTCCGGTATCTGAGGGTTTACCTGACGCTGCTGCTCCTTCGGCTGTTCCAGACACAGAGTCACCAACTATACCAAGCGCAGCTCCGGACGTGGTAGTGGACCCCTTCCCGCGCAGTGGCGACGCTGCCACGCGGTGTCGCCTGCACATCGTACGGTAGCCTCGAACCGTGGGCGCTGGGCCGGACGGGAACGGTCGAAGGTAAGTTCACGGCGCTCTAGGGCTTGTTCATGGCTGATCGGTCTACCCAGAGCAATTGATCCCCCGATCGTGCAGTTGTTGATGGATGATTTCGACCCTAACAACCAGACCGACGTAGACGAGCTCAGATCCTCCTGGGTCGTGCAGTGCTGCTTGGTGGGAGCAGTTGCGGTGAACTCGGACGTGAGCACGTGGTCCTACTACACAGATGAAGGGCAAAAGGAAGTGCAACGCCTGCTCGTAGGCACGACTGTGGTGAATCCTACTCATAGTGGTGATGACCCTGATCCTCCTACGATGCCCACCCATCCTGTTACAAGAGAAGGGGTGTCACCACCACCCCTTCCTGCGTCGAAAGTTTTGGTCAGGGAATCCTCACCAGAACTGCCGCTAAGAGCTCCGCAGAACATCCCAGACGTATTCTTTATCTTCACGGACCTCTCCCTCTGTACAGCGGGCGACTACCGGCTACAGTTTATATTGATGAAGATTGAGCCCGGATCGCTGCAAGTGGGTGCCACGATGCCTGCCCGCCATTTTGTCACGAGTGAAGTCTTTGGGTCTGTCGACGCAAAGGATTCGAGCCTAGCACCCACTTGGTACGAGGGCTCGGTGATCGAGGTGTAGGATTCGGTCTCAAATTGGAAAAGGGGCCCAGGAAAAGCCAAGGACGAGAGGGGAAACAATCGGATGACGATTCTGATGATGAAGATTCAGGTCACGACGACGGTTGAATCTTACGGAGATTTGTCTAAATACATAAAAAATCTGGTAGTGTTGACAATGGAACTCTCGGCGGTCGCTAGAAGCGCATCAAACGTCGTCGTGACGGGGACGACCTCTCCGAATTCGTCGGAACCGAGTCGAGTTTCCCCATAGCAGGCAAGGGCAGCTCGAAGCTCTGACTTTGGCGAACGGTATGGGTTGGTCCCACGGCACCATAACTGTGGTCCGAGGTAGTTTCCATAGCCGGTGAGGAGGGCCATTGTTCCACTTCCGGGCCCGACCGACGGAGGAGCGAGTTTCGTGGATGAATATGTCGATATTCGGTCTTTTCTCGTCCTTACAGGACCTCTGCTCTTCAGTCACGTGTCCTTACCCTTTAGAAACTAGAGGCCATCGGCCAGTGCTTCCCTCTCGGTATACCGTGACAGAAAGATAACGAGGAGGCGATATTGGAAAAGGAAGAAGTTGGAAATGCAAAGAGCATCATCGTTGAGTAAGAAATCTACTCTATCGTATCAGCGCAAATCTTTCCGGCTTCTAAAGACTGGCTGAAGTCGAGATCTGGTTTCTCAAGTGGCCCCAGTACGCTACGTCCTTTTTTGAAGAGGCTCAAATAGGGTATATTCCGAATCTACCGTTCTGAGGAGAGGATCAATTTTGGAGGTTGACCTTGACTACTGCTACCACGGGCAGAAGGTATGTTAGAGACTCTATTAATAGGTAGTGGCATTTCGGATTTTACTGAGCTCGCCCCCGTCTCATCTTCTGTACTTCCAAGACTATAGAGTCGCGACTGTTCGTTCAGCTCCATTGACAATTCCCGACTCGGTTTCGAATTCCACAACGTCGAATACGGGGTGCGCAAAGACTTTTTCTTGGAGAACTGAGGGGAATTGTGCGCGAGTTTTGGCGACGGCAAAGGTCTTCGCCTACCATCGTCAGTCGTTGATAAAAGACTTTGTTTTCGACTCACTATGATTGTCGATATCCTCACGAATGAATTAGCGACCCCGTATCCTCCCATTTCCAAAGAGCTGTGAGCGAAACTCGGTGGCCGAGCGGATCCATACTGGGAAAGCCGCGCAAGAAGATCGACAGCTGGGGTCTAATTAGTCTGTACTTGCGGTTGGCTGGTTGTGACCGAATCGGGCGTTCTCGTAGACACCATAGCCGGCATCGTAGCGGTCAGAAAATAAGACAGATTATATCGTGGCGGGATGATCCAATGTAGAACGCTGGCGCCTAGAACGGAGGAGGCGTTTCTTGGTTCGTCTGGACTGGGGATATCCTGGTCGGTCATCGAGATCAAAGAAAAAGAAAAGAAAAGCCAAAAGGCGGGAAGAGGGGAAGTGGGCAAGCAGGAAAGCAAGGTAGAATACAAGCATGAAAGAAAGGCAATCGTCAGCCGTAATACCTCGGAGTGGGCCGATCTGGAGCTGCCAGGGATTTGAACGCTTCTCAGTTCTGGGAATCCGGCGTCGAGCTCGGTCAGCACGTCGCAAGACGAGTAGATATTGGGCAATTAATTCCATTCCCCCCAAGTGCTCTGTGATTGGGTGCCGCAAGATCTCCAGGAACGCTTTTTGGTTATGCCGGCGAAGCCGTCTAGGTACATGATGTCGGAGTGATAGTTTTTGCAAAGCTTCGGAAGCTAAAGGGTGGCGATATGCCAGCAGAAAGACCTGGCGTGCGCGGAGTAGCGTTCGATCCAGGGCTAATTCTGCAGCCCCTGCCATTGTTCATCGTTTAATTCGTTTGAGGGGAGATTTTGAATTGGTTAGCCAAAGTCTGGATGTATTCTCTCTTAACGAGGAGGAGGAGGCCCATATATATCTCCCGGCCGGCTTAACGAGGCGTCTAGTCCCGTGCCTTCGTCCACTCAAGACAACAACTCTTGGCTGGGTTCACGAGTTGTCATTGTTGAAAATCGGACAACTTTCTGGTGGCGATCGATTTCGTCGGTGCCATGTCTGTTTCTTCCATTTTCGAACATACTCTTTCCGCGTAAGTTTGAGTCTCTGGGCGGGTCGTGGACGTCTCATCAATGAGCAGTCGATCTATTTCTTCCACCAGAGGATCGTTGCCAGAAGTAGAGGAATAGCTGTGTTTGTCTTGACAATGAATCGCCCCGCATTCGCCTTCGGAACGGCTGTCCCGTGCCAACGGCTCCTTCCTCGTCGCCGGGAGAAGCGGTCCTTCTTCTACGACTCGACGGGCATCCCCCGCAAAACGATCTGGAAATGGTATTCCAACACGTTGTCGTTGACTGGCCCAGCCTTTCGACTCTTCCGTAATTTGTTTCCTAGTTTCAGACTTGGCGGACACGGCGTCACACAGAGCTTTTATGCCGGCTATCTCCATGATTGATTTGGGTTTGGGCAGATTAGAGGATTTGGGTGCTGTTGGGACGAGATGGATGTGGGAGGAGAGGCAGAGAAGGATTTCTGCTGGTAGGCGACTAGAGTAAACGAAGCCCGACTTACGCGAAGGGAAAAAGGAGGAGAAGGAAAAGACGACCTCGAGCAATAATAATAATGATGGGAGGCTACGTAGGACAATTTCCCGAAGCGGTCAAGTGCGACGGGTCAGGAGCCACTAATCAGGCAGCTCACGCTTCTTTCAGGGAATGCCGAGCACGCAAAGTTCCCCGCTGACCGCAAAGTTCGCTTGGTGCGTGGGAGAGAACCAATGACACCCGATTCCGCGCGCGTCCGTTTGCGCCCGCCATGAGTCTGTTGGCCGACCTCGCCGCCGCCCCGGCTGACCTCGTCGTCGCCTATTTTGTATAGTCAATCTTGACGTTTGATCTCTGAGAGACTGAAGCGAAATTGCGGCCAGCGGGGACTTTACGGTCAAGCTTGCCGCCCGTAGGCATTCCCCATGCTTCTGTTCGCCTACTCGCCAAATCTACTCGCCAAATCTACTCACCGAATCTACTCACCGAATCTCAATAGAGGAAGTGAAGACCTAACTCACAACCCTTTTCTAGTGAGAGAGGTAGTAATCAT